AAAAATGGTACTGTTCGTGTTTATTGCCCTCCTGCAATCGTATATTGCTCCTATGTATTCGTATGTAACCTGTATGTTACCGTATGCGTCTCTATGTATATCCTTATGTTACTCGTATGTTCCTCTTGTATATTCGTATTTCACTCGTATGTACTCGTATTTACTTGTATGTATCCGTATTTTACTCGTATGTACTCGTGTGGTGTTTTAGTCACGATTTATTTCCCTGACTGTTAAATAGTTTTCTCGAACAATGGCGCTATTAATATTAAATTATATGTACCGTCAAAAGTCTGTAACTATGGGCTTGTTACAACATAATCACTTTCAATATGGGCTATTTCTCAGAATCTTTTCACTGTCCCGATTGCATGATCATCAGCTGGCAAGTACTTGGAAAAATTCAAAATAATTACCTGATGATTTTTCCCGTGGACTTTCAATCAGCCTTATAAACAGTGAATTGGAAAACTGAACTGAATTCCCTAAATTTATTTGGAGTTTTTGCCAGGTCATGATTTTCGTATAAACCAGGACAAAAACGACGAATCTGTGTTATATGCCATTTATACACCTTTACCTTTTCTCATACTGCAATGTGTTAAAGAACTGGAGATCGCTTAGGGTACTTATAACGACCTGTGATATTTACTGAAGCAGTACTTACCGTAAGAGCGTTGACGGTTGTCGTTGAGTGATCAACCGTATGCCGGGATGTAAAATCTTGACTGTGAACTAGTCTCAGTGCTTTATCTAAGTCGCCACAGCCGCATATCAGTTGTGTTTTCACATCCGAAGACAATGTTAAAGGGTATTTGGCTTACCCCAGATTGCTTTTTCCCATGTTGCGAACAGTCTTATTGGGAACGATTCTTTCAATCCACCTGTCTTTTGGCTAAATAAATACCATATTTCTATTGAAAGACTGATCTTAGTGAAAGTGAATATTCACCAAAGCCATATTTAAACTGGATAGGTTCTAATTAAAGGCACAACACGAGTCCTTTCAGATCTTTCTGGCGGTGTCGGGATCTAACAAAATCGTTTGCGTGAAATTGTTGGAAACAAATTTGCTCAAACGCTTACAAAAGTACTTGGCCGATAACCAAGTGCGAAAGACGTACTGAACGACAAAAGGAAAGAATATTGTCCATAGGGATCGAACGCAGAGAGGTCAGTGCGCAGAAAACACCGAGGACCAATACGTCCTGAGCAAGCTGGATTAATAAGAGATTTATTAGACAAGTTTTTAATTGAAAACGAGCTGTAAAAACTCTGCACAGTGCAATACTTCTAAAGGAAATATATATATTACATGGGTAATTCAGTCAGCACTGTTATTGGCCCTGTCAGCTCTCTCATATAATTAAGTCGTGTATTTTAAATACACTTATCTGGACTGCACACTTCGGGATAACCTATAACTATCAATTATTATGGCTACCGCGCTGACCGAGCAAGATACGATGGGACTATCATATTATCTTGCCCGCTCGGGATTACCCGCTGTTTCCCGCAAGAATGTTGTGTTTTTTAAGTCATGTAATAAATCCTTTATTGCCAGGTTGTTCGGTCAGGAAGGCTGAATATTGCCCTCGGTCTTCTTTTGCGTGTTTACCGACCGCGACTGTATCTCGGTCTTTTAACCCGCAAAAGCGAACTTGGCCAATATCCAGCCATCTTGACCACACGCTTGGTCAATAACTCAGATATCTAAAATTAATTTCCGTACTTTCAGTTTTATTGTTTTCGTCAATACCAGAACTAGACGACCATGAATTGGGAAGATTATCTCAAAAGCTCTTCTGACCACCTGATCCGAGATGAATCTTTCCCAATCTACTCGCCAAGCTTTTCGTTGTTTTGGTGCTCCGAGTTGTTTAATAGTTTAGGAATCAAGCTCCTGTACCTATCTATTTATTACTGTTTTTAATTTTGTGGTTGTTGTTGTTGTTTTTTAAGAAACCACAACCTTTTTTTGGCCTCACCCTCCTTTTCCCTTTCCCATTTCTTTTTTATTTTATCGTTTTTCGTCCAAATATGGCATGCGCTATTGCGTCATACTGCTGTGCTATCCCTGTGGTACGCATGTACTTTTCCAGTCAGTTGCCAATATGGCGGCTCGGCGGAGTGGGAGTTTGTTGCTTCAGAGATGTATTTTTTGTTCAAGAGAAACTTTAAAGCGAAGGCTCGACTTCGATATGCGTCATTTCTCAAGAATAGGGAATGCTTTGTTTGTTGCGTCAAGTAGGGGTGGAATATTCGTTGCTTCTGGTAAGAAACAGCTGATTCTTCTAGTGCACAACCGTACAATATTTTTAATGTTAAGCCTAACGAATTTTCGTTCTTGTCTCGTTTGTATTTCCAGCACCAACGCGGAAGATTAACCCTTCATCTGCTGGAGTTATTTCTTGTCACAGACGGGAATTTCACACATCGGGTAAGTGAAATAATTGAAATCTCTGTCCTAAACGATCGATATGTCAAGTCCACGTGTTGTGTGAAATTGCGTAAGATAAAATTAATATAGAAATCAGTGTACATCTTTGTTAGTTGATACGATCTTTTTGTTGAGCCCAAGTGCTATATCTAAATTTAAAATCCAGGCATATTCATGGCGACATGACCGACAGACCCCTGAAAACTGGCGACCCATAAGGGCTTCTAAGTACCGGCATTTTAATGTGAACTAAGCTTACAATGTATGTGTAGAAATCATAAAATTTTCATGTTGTTCAATTTCTGATCCACAGATCCTACTCACAGAAAAGATTACTACAAAATTCTCGGAGTATCACCCAATGCTGACCAAAAACAAATTAAAAAAGCTTATTTCGAAGTGAGTATTACTTTTCATTTCTGGTGGCTCCATCATTAGGACTTCCACCATTTTATCTGCTCCCCCTCCCATAGATCAGGGGTACTTACCATTTACATGGGAAAACCGGAAATTCCAGGTAGAAAATCAAATGGTTCGCGCCATTCCGTTTGGGAAGCTTCAGAAAATATGGGCTGTGATTTGAGGTGATGCTATTTTTCTGCTGTTTTAAGTCTCTATAGCTGATGTGGATATACTTAATAGCGATTCCCTCTCCCGCAACGTGACATTCAACTGTTTAATGTTTATGCCTGAAATTTCCAACCGGATGGTTTTTGTAAATGGTAAGCACCCCAGTTTTAATGCAGACAAAGTAGGGAAACTGAAAGTAGGGAAAAATCTAGGGCTAGGGAAAATTCAATACTTTTATATTGATAAACTATTAAATCTCTTGACGAATTGTAGTGAAATAATATTGGAAGTTTAATTTAAAGGTTACTATAACTTTCACAATGACAGTTGGTTATCACGAAAATTTTATTGCAATCAGCTTAAACTGTTTTCTGGCCAGGAAGATTTGGAAAATTCTGGATGGATGGCATTGCTTGTTGCAAATTAAAACAGTCTTATTTTGTAGGCTGTCAGATCATATATGTACATGGAGGATCTGATCTGTTTTATTTATTTAACAAATAAAGAAGCCCAAGCCGTGTATTACACTATGATGAAACACAATGGGCATTTGAGAACACGAGGGAAATGTGGAAAACACGAGCTGCAGGTCAGTGTTTTGTACATTTCTCGAGTGTTCTCAAATGTCTGGAGTGGTTTATCACAGTGTAATACATGGCTTAGGCTTCTTTATTTGTTAAATATATAAAGCAGATCAGATTTTCCATGTACATACATGCTCTGACAGCCTACAAAATAAGACTGTTTTAATTTGCTTTGTGATTTAGATTTTACAGGTGCAAAACAATAAAACATGCTTTTTCTATGTTTATACTCTGATAAAACATGGGTTTTTGACCAATCAGAGCGTGCACAGGGTCCTATCTATATTATAATACAAAGTAATTCTCTCTGTCCTGCTCCCCTGCTTCTGCAAATTAAACCACTTTGTTAATAAAGGTTTCTGCATCTTATTTCAGCTGGCCAAAAAATACCACCCTGACACAAACAAGAGTGCTGGTGCTGCAGAAAAATTTCAAGAAATTAGTGAGGCTTATGAGGTATATTGACACTTCAAGTGGCTAAATTACTTACTTCTTACTTAATCCTGTTCATGCCCTGTTGGACAATGCAACAGACTAAAATAGCTAATAGCTAAATAGTTGACTGCATCATGACAGTATCTGCTATATTTACTAATTCACATTATCGGTCAGTTTGACGATGTTCTGATTATGGCAAAATTGGGCAATTCCAGAAAATATCCATACCCAACCATGGACGGCTTCCATGTTTTAACCCCCGCCCCCCCTTGCCTTCAGAAATTCCAGAATGCATTCCCCCTCGTGCCTCAGAATTCCGTAATCCTGAACCCCCCTCCCCTTTGGGATTTCCACTTTTTTTTGGAAGTACATTTTTGACTTGGCAACGCCTATATGAGCTAAAAAATATGAATTTATGCCTCCTCAAGGCTGTGATCTAGCGGCGACAGGCGACAAGCTTAACTCTTCAGCAACAAGAAAAACCTAGCGCGAGTGGCCAGGCTGTGCAAACTTTTTAAGTCTGAATTTGGCTATAAAAATAAATGCCACTAACCATTATTTTCCTCCTCTTTATTTTCTTGTGTTGTTTTGATGTTTACAAAGCAAAATAGCTCAAATTCAGAGTGTAAAAATCTTTCGGCAGTAAAAAATACCGTCAAGTCTTGAATCTTTCCTTGTTGCGTCCCTTTTATAAGTCATGTAGTGTGCATGAAAAATGTTTTTCCAGTCCGAATGCTTAAGCATCTGGCAGGCATTCATCGGAAGCGAGGGACTGGTGCGATTTTTTTTGCCGTTCATCGGACGGGAGACAGGAGTAACAAGAAATTTGCAAGCAGTAAATAAGATACATTTTGAGGTTTTATTCATTTGACAAGAAATTCATCAAGGGAAATGTGAAACCCACCTTTTACTGTTCACTCCTATAAGTTATGAGCATAAACATGTGTCTGATCAATCGATGCTTGTCTTCTGCTTCCATGGTCATATGTTTGTGGTTTATTTATTTACGAACCACAAAAGTCCACAACAATGGTGTTTTCAAGGAACTCACTCTACTCTTTCCACTCCAAAAATCCCAGCTGTGAAATCCCCCCATGTCCTCAGATTTTCCATCGTAGANGGTATGGATATTTTCAGGAATCGCCCATTATGTGAACATCTTATTAATGAGGTTTTAAGACTACCAGTAGTAAACTAATACATAGATTTAGGCCAGCCTGAAAGCGCAGCTCTGGGGTTGGGTTGTTCAGAGCCCAATTAAGCTAACCCAGGAAGATGTATAATTTTGATTTGAGTTTTGTTACTTTGTGGTGAGGTTTTCTGTATATTGTTTGGCCTTCTGTTTTGAGTTTTAATAATCACCATATACTCAAAACAAAGCAGCAAAAAACATTTGTATATAGAAGAAAAAGTTATAATTCGATTAACTTTTAATCCTGGGTTAGCGTTAACTGGCTTCCGAACAATCCAGCCCTGTTTTCAACAAGTTAACCTGACATGATTCTGTGATCCAATCAAAAACCTACACTTGGTCAGCGGTCAACTTCAAAAAAACACGTGACCATGATAACCTGTAAACTTGAGCCCACGATATGGTTATGTGATACTGGTCACCAGATACCTTGTATTGACAGCTGCCAATTGATCATAACATGGATGTCCAATATCAAAGAAGTACACAGTAAACAAAGGCTGCATGTCTCTGTCAATATATTATTATGGCCGCCATGTTGCACGACTCTGTTGTTGCCATCGTCGCCGTCGCCGTGCGTATGCACTCACGAGCAATACCGCCAGCCATGATAACCATGGGAAAATCAACTTGTGGGTTTCCTTTTCTTTCCTATATGAGTATGGGACTCTGCTTGGCGGCCCTTTGGGACGACGGAGCTCCGCTATTATTTGGCAGTAGCAAACTGAAATATTCAGTTTTGGCCCCTGAGTTTTGTGCGTGATATTCCATTCATTTAAGGTTCTTGGTGATGATGACAAAAGAAGATCACATGATAATTTTGGAACAGCAGATTTTGGAGGAGCAGCAGGTAACTGGTCTCTTGCTGAGTTAAGTTTGTTCACTGTGATACAGGGGTTTCATTGACATTGCCAGCAGGAGGGCAACTGGTTTTTACAGGGGGCAAAACTATTTGAACTGATCTTCTTGATAAGAAAGGCTTTCCACTGGATGGCCAAACCAGCTGGCAAAATCGTTATCACAGCCGGTCAATTTGCCCATTGCCGGCCATTAACTAATGAAACCCCTGACTGTGATATGACTTAGTTAACAAAAAAATAATTACACAATGATCATATAACATTTTTTTAGAAGACTACACACATGTACATGTACATGTATGAACCTCTGTTGGTTGTTCATTGTACATTGTATTGTTCTTGAAAGTTGAGATGGAGTCGGGGTCAAGCAGTAGGAGTGTTATGACCTAATAAAAATCAAAAGTTGGAAAAACTAGAACGTTTCTACTTTATTTTGATTCCGCTTATGACCCTGTCACTTACTTTGTTTGACTGTTTTAATGAATATCTCTAGTGGAAACTAGATTGTCAGAGTCAGGAGCAGATGCAGAAGAACAATCCAATAAAAAGGCCCAGAATCGAGCATTGTGATTTATTCCTCTTCCCTGCTTGACAATCCATTTACAGTAGTTGACAGAATCTTAAGCTGAATCGGTATTCTGTTTTGGACCCCCCTAACTAGATTTTATTGCTCTGTGCTTCTGATTCCGTCTCCGACTCTAATTCAGTTGTTAGTAAAACCAGCCTTCAATCTGTATCATACTGCATTTGTATAGCTAAATTCCAGCACCCAGTAAGAAGCAATCAAAATAAGACATCTGACTTTTATTCAGAGCTGCATACTCTTTCTTCATTATACCAGTAGCTGCATGAATTCTTTGTGAAACTTTAAGCTCTTTAGAGATTTATGTAAAATGCAAACAGAGAATAAGGCTCCAGTTGACGTTCGTTTTATACCTAAATTAAAATCACAGAAGACTAAAAGATGTGCATTTCTTGCAATAGGTGGCAACCCATTTGGTGGTGGAAGTCCATTTGGACAAAGCGTTGATGCAGAGGACATCTTTAGAAGTTTCTTTGAAGGACGAGGTGGCTCTTTTGGTGGCTTTCAGACTAGTACTGGGGGTTTTTCAGATTATGAGCAAGTTCAGGTGTGAACCCTTTTCTGTCCTCTTTGCATCAAGTAGTTGAGCCTCCCTGTGGCATTAAACAAAGGCTTTTCTGTAGTGTGTCCTTGAAAGTATTGGATTGAGGTCAACAATTTTTTCCTTCAAAAACCAGAGTGAGCATGATCTTCACAACTTGAAAAAGAGATTAATTTTGTTCTGGGAGGTGAATAAGCTCGCAGAGTCTATTCTAGATTATGTGCAATCATAAAATTCAACATAACCAGGAAATTCTTTATGCTAAGGCTGAAATTTTAATTTTTTTTTCCAGCATGTTATCAACCTATCCTTCATGGATGCAGCAAAGGGTTGTGACAAAGACATAACAACAAGAATGCGAGTAACTTGTAATCGATGTGATGGTAAACGAGCAGAACCTGGAACAACATATTCTCAATGTTCTACTTGTAAAGGAACTGGCGAGGTAGGGTACATGTATGATGTGGTGATTTCTCTCTTTCATGGCCTTGCAAGACTACCTACTGGTTGGATATCTATTAATAGCTACATGTCTAGGGGTGGTGAATAGTACAACTTACATGTGATACTTTGCGAGAAGGTGAGACTAATGTTTTTCTTTGCGAGGCCAAGACATTTTGTGTTTTAAGTGTTTTAAATGCAAGCTGGAGACGATCATGTTCGAAAACGTAAAGATGTCATTTAGGCTTATAAAAAAAGCAAACAAATTGGTACTTTGGGACTTTCTTCGTCTTGCAAAAAAATCTAGACTGGGAGAGAGCTTTGTCAAAGAATCAAGACTGCAAGACACACATGAAATTTGACGAACATTTTGCGAGACCCATGGTTTTTAAGAACCATTTGCCACCCCTAGCTATGCAGCTACCAGAATAATTTTACAATGTAAGAACAAATTTTTGCAGGAAACAGTTAACACTGGATTCTTCCACATGCGATCAACGTGTCGTCGTTGTGGTGGACAGGGTCACATCATAACTACACCATGTAAGAAATGTCGTGGAAAAGGAAGTGTGCACGAAACCAAAACAATTTCCATTCCAATTCCAGCAGGTATCTCCACAGTACATGTCTAATAATATAGCTACTCTTTAATCATTATGTACAGATGGTCATATGAATTAAGAAAACCATCATTGTATGCTGATATTTTGACAGATTCTCATAACTAAGTCTATAATTAATCTGTGGGGACCAATAAAGAGAATTTAAATGTTGATAATATTGTTCAAGGTTATACATGTGCAAGTCACTAAGCAGCCGAGGTCATTTCTAAGTTTCCTTCTTTATAATTTTGTAAATTTCTTCTAACTTTTAGGAGTTGAAGATGGGCAGACTGTTCGTGTACCAGTTGGAGCTGGAGAAATATTTGTAACATTTAAGGTTCGTTCAATTCTGTCTTATTAAGACTTTTCCTATAGTTTCCATTAACAAGGCCATAGTACAGTATAGTATGGTACATGTATGTAGTATTTTAGTATGTTCAACTTAGTTTTACAATCCAAACAAGATTGAACAAGTCTGGAGCAAGTGGATGTTAAACTGCATATGAGATTGATTCTCAAAATTTATTGTTATTTTATGTTCTGTCCTTATACATTCTAATTTGGTAACACAGTGGTTCTGTGCACTGTTTTTTATTCTTACATTCCTGTTGTTCCCCTTTTATTTCCCTTTTATTTCCTTTAAAATAGCACAGTGTTACAGAATGTATGAATTCATAATTTCCATATCACCCAATGGTGTCATCATGCAGGGCTCGAAATTAACTTTGTCGTTCGAGAGCCAGCTGGCGACTAACAGAAAAATTTTGGTCGCCAGATCGTAAATNACGCGAGTCGCCAGCTGGCGACCAGTTCTGAAAATTTAGTCGCCAATGCTCAATTTCTGGTCGCATTGGCGACCAGTGAGTCGCAATTTCGAGCCCTGTCATGGTAGAAATGTTGCTTGTTGTTGGTAAAAATTTCCCTTTTGTTGGTTTTAGGTCAGTGAGAGTAAAATATTTGAACGAGATGGTGCGAATGTGAGCTCTACAGTCACCATAAGCTTCACCCAGGTACGATTTCTTTGGCAATGATCCCCAGTCAGGGCTGTCAATAAGGGCTGTAAACTGGAAGAGCTGCTGCGGCTGAGTTTTGATGACATCTTGTACATGTTATTACAGGTGAACTTACCTGTAGTTGATACAATTCACCCAAAAAGTAACAAGTTTGTTACTGGTGTGAAGATCAAGGCTAGAGGTGAATCAAAACTTAGTGACAGCCCTGGCAGGGGCCACCTATAGAGGAAAAACTTCCAGACATTTCAACTGCGAATTTCTGTTCAGTGAGAATGTGCTGAATCTCCTTGAAGAATCTACTGTTTTTCCATTCAGTAAGAATGTGTTGAATTTCCTTGAAGAGTCCACCATTTTTCGGCTACTTACTATCTTTTCAGAAGTTTCTATTTTGTCCAGGATGGACTGAAAAATGAGTAAACAATTTACCTCCAACCGAAATTTCTAAAATTTTTGACTAAAATGCCACTGGAATAAAGTACACTGTAAGTCTGCTCAGATCTGATTGGATGTGTCAGATGATGAACAGCCCGTTGGTCCTGGTGATAAACTCCAGTTTATGTACATGCACCTAGAAATAGTTGAACGGCATTTGTGTTTGTTTACCATCAATGGTTGATTGACAATATGACTGATTCGCAGGCCATTCTTGGTGGGACACTTCGTGCACCTGGCATCCATGGAGAAATTGAAATTAAGGTGAGTGAACCATTTTTAAACCAGAAAGTCAATTCCGCCAACATACTGTAGCAGTTCTGTTGTCCTCAAGGCTTACTCACAGCGGCACTCAAAAGATGGTGTTGTTATTACACTGAGTTGAAGGAAGAGGTTAATCGTGATTTTTGGACACTGTAGAAATGGTGCGCCTCTGAAGGAATGTCCACGGGTTGATTTTGTCTTGTTTTGGTACACTTTTCATTGCAATTTTCATGCAATTTATCAAACACAAAATCCACGTTTCCAAACACTGAGAGGAGAGTTGAAAATACGACACGTAGCGGAGTATTTTTGACGAACTTTGAGGTGTTTGGAAATGTGATCAAACACTTTCTCGTGTGTTTGATATATCTTCTCAATCGAAACTAAAACTAACGAGAAAACAGAGAAATAAAATCGTAAAAATCTATGCTAATGTAAGATCAGATATCCAAACACTCACATGCTTATGTTTTTGCTTTGTTTAAACTTGATGACTAATTAATGAGTTTGAGGATAACAGAAGCAGCGATCCTGTCGAGGTTTTAACATACAGTTGTGGCACTGCAACCACAAGCCCAGGCAATGTGTTATACCCAGTTGCCCTCTTTGTACTTGACCTTTGATCTTATGATATATTTCGTCTCAGATTCCTCCTGGAACCCAGTCTCATCAAAAGATCCGTCTCTCAGGGCGTGGCATCCCGAGATTAAATGGAATGGGCAAAGGAGATCACTTTGTCAACTTTAAAATACACATACCCAAGTAAGTTGTACTACAATGTAGTAAACTTGATATGTTGTTAGGTTATTAGGTTTTACACGGTGGTACGTCTGAATATACTTGTGATGTCAACAGTACACAGTAATAATAGTTATTTTCTGGGTCCCATATGGCTTAAAAGCACTCTGCAAGCCTGGAACAGGTTGGGTGAATTAAGATGCGTGTGTATTGATCCGTCGGTCGGACTGACGAAGATCTTATCCTCGACAAACCGGCGAGAAGAGCCGCCACTCAGCCCAACCTATCACCAACCCAATATTCGGCAACGTGTAAATTAATATTCTCGTTTACTTTCCCAGATACCTTAATGACAAGCAGAAGGCGTTAATATTGGCATATGCTGAGTTAGAAGATGACGTTAATGGAACAGTCAATGGAGTAGATAAATCCACGAAAGGTAATCGTGTCCTTTGTCGATTGAAGCACAATGTAATTTTTATTAAAGCACCAATGTAAGGGATGGACAATTATTTTTTTGGACGGGGTAGAAGGGTGATAGAGTGGGGGGTTGGCCATTTTGGCAAAAAATATATATCTATCTGCACAAGCTGTTGCCCACGAAAAATAATCATGCACAACCTAAAGGTGAGAAAAAAAATTTCTGCCCCAGAGAATTACCCAACACCCCCACCTCCCCCCCCTCCTCCCACCCTAAAAAAAAATGTAATAATAATGGTCCATCCTTAAGCTGAATTCATTGCAATTTGGGTTTGCATGACATCAGTATGTCTCTGCATCTCATAGACGACACAACTAGCCAATCCTGGAAAGCGTACGAAACACCAGCTGGTGCAAATGTCCCGAAAGAGATCGAGCTTGAAGAGATTGTCAAAAAGAAGCGTCCCCTGGGAAGGTTTATGCCGGATGGGACCTGGGACGATGAAGACCCGGAGGCCAGATTTCGGCGCTCTAAACAACACATGTTGAAATTAACGGCGATCACGTGCTTCACTGTCGCAGCGTACATGCTTATGCATTTTCTCCTTTTGGGCGTTGAAGCACGCGAGGATGTGACGGAGAACGTGCAGTTAGGGCATTTAGGAAGTGGAAATGACAGTCACAGCTTGGAGAAAGATAGATAGCCCTGTAGTCAATTTAGTTATACTTAAAGTTAGTCTGCTGAGGAGGAAATGAGGAGTCAGAAGTGAGAGCGTGACAAAGTGTACAAATTTCGCGCTTAGGTTCATTTATTTCCTCCGTAAATTTTTTCCCTCCTTCACGCAATACCTTGCCCTGGTGTAAAGTAGCATTGCGTGACAATAACCCGTGGTTTGCATCGTCACGCAGTGCTACTTTCCATTAACGTGGAATATTGCGTGACGAAGCAAAAACAATAAGTCTCTGTTTGCAGTATCACACAATGCTACAACCCATTTGGAAGTATTGCGTTACGACCAAAATGGCGGCTGCAAGCGAAATAGAATACCCTAGAAAAATTGCTCTGCACCAAGTCACTAACTCTGCTTTTTGACTTCTCAATTTTTCCAAGGTGCAAAGACTGTTGCCGAAGATGAGAGCGGATTGCTTGGACGCCTGAAAAAAGTATTCTGCAGCGAAGAGGATGACAGTGATGACGATAAAGATAACAGGCGACAGGGGAAGGCGTGACAGCATTCTGGTCCTTTAGGGGAAGGCGTGACAACAAGCTGGTGCTTTAGAATTGTCGTATAATTTGCTCAAACTGTGCGCTGTTGTAGCGAATCCTCTTTGGTCCTGCTCACAAAAAAACCTTTTTCATTTGAAAAGGATATTTTTTTGAAAACGTATTTTAACGTTATCCATCCACGCGCACTCATCGTGATCGTTATAGCCCTGCACGCATGAACGTGATGAGTGACGTGTGCTCTTTGAAAGTATGCGGTGGACTGAATCTATGTTGTTACGTCGTCCTTTGTCGAGAACTGCCATCTTCAAAGCAATTCTCGGTGAAAACCATCACCGTGTTTCATCGTTGTGTATGTGAACAGAAAGTCAAACTCAAAAACGAAACAGTTTGAATGAAAACCTAGGCCAGTGAATAGGTTTGATTCTATTTAAAAATCACGGCTGCTTTCTTCCAGACTACCTAACGTTTTTAAAAAAACTATTGTCTAAATAAAATGATTTGTGGTGTAGGGTACTTGCAGTCTCGGTGCGTATCATATGCAGCTGATCCTAATAATTCCCCTAATTGCCCTCATCTTTTGCGGATCTCTATTACTGAGAAAATATTAAAGGTGGTCTGATTTAGTTATGCATTGTTGTGTTTCATTGCTTGATTTTGTGCTTTGTCGTTTTGCCTTGTCGGAAGTAGACTACAAATACTCACTTGTATCCGATCAAAAAACAGACGTGTAAACAAGAGGCCTTCTAGGTTCGCGTTGACTTGACTAATTGCAACTCATACGGTAGTGCTTCTTGCTCGCACCCAGTGCCATTCATCCACTTGGATGTGATTTTGGCGAGAGCGTCTGGAGAGAAAATATATGCGGTTTGAGGTCACGCGGGAGGCGCGTTTTGAAAAGAGGCTGAGGAGAGGAGAAAAGGCGTCACTTTTTTCTTCTTAAAACACCCCTCACGCCGGGGTATAGATCGTGTACTGCCGTCTCACTGTGGATGACCTTTTTCAGTTCACATCATGAACATGGCTTCAGATCAATCTGGAATGCTTCATGACAATCTGAAATGAATGATGACAATTTCTAGGACTGTCAATAGAGACCTTAAGCAAACACTGGAGGCGGCGAGGTGGACGCCAACCGGAAGTAAAATTTCCCGCTCTCGACCTAATTAGCATAAGCACGTGGAGTGTTGCCCGCGTCTTCCAACAGTGGCGGCGGCGAGAAAGGTAGGTTTGGCCGCCTCGAGAGACGGTCGCTTTATTTTCCCATTTGTAGCA